ATCTCTCACATTTGAAGTCAACTAAAGAAAGATACAAGTTTTTTACCGCTTAAACGGAACAACTGCTGAACTCCATTCTGTAGCTACATAAACAGATACAAAAGACAGAAAGAGTCATGAACAAAAGCTCCGCAAACAAAGTGTAAATATTAGAGGGGACCTGGCCGAAAGTGATTGCGCAGATGTCACAGTAACAGGAAGAGCAAATGAAATACACAACAACTGAGGAAACGGCTTACAACAGTGAAAACGTTGGAGGCTTCAAATCCAGACATGCTGGCTCAGAGCCACCAACGAGATCAAGGTTTTTATTAATCGCATGTTGCCTTTGAACAGTGAATTTACTTCATGTCGGTTTGGTACAACCAGTCGAGAAACGTATTGCATAGCTTTGGTTTGGAAAATGGCGGAGCAGCTTGGAGTTTTGGTGTGATCACACCGGAAACATTGAGAGATACGGCTGGTTATCTGATACGAATGTTTAACAAAGCTGCGATTTGTCTGAAAGCTGATTATCCGATGTGATAATCGACGCACGATGTAAAGACGTTAAGAAAACGGCTACAGTTGCAATCTAGACAACAACATGATTCACAAGCATACACAGAAGACTTACTGGATGAGGACAAGTGACGAGTTGCGTCAAGACGCCACACTGACCTTTGTCGGACCGTCCCCACAGAAAAGCCTCGTGCGACACGGTCACCACCCCGTTGACGCCGTACGCACAATACACCGAGTCTACATGCAGGCAACTGAGGTGACTGGCTACCTGATCCCCCCAGCAGCAAAGGGGCGATGGCTGCTCTCTGTGGTCCATCTCTGGCTCGAGTTGTGTCGCGACAGCGTCGACCTTGCCATCCACGATGGTCAACAGCAAGAGACGATGCCCGGCGATCGACGATGGTATGACGTTAAACGAATTCCATCCATCGAAACTTTCAAGCTCTAGCGGCGTCGCATGACGGGCGTCACTGTTCTGCCAGACAAGCACTTTCATGCCGCCCTAAGCCAAGGTAATGTGGTAGCTGTTCTCAGGGGATGGTAATATAGCAACAAAGCCATCGTTCAATTCAACCATTTTTCTCGGCATGAGGAAGACATGATGAATATTAAGGTCGAAATTACATATCGGCAGGCAGAACTGGTTTTCTGATGTAATGAAAAGAAATCCTCAGAAAGCCGCTTTTTCATACATGTGTGTCACTGAGATGGTACCGGAAAGAGCGAATAGTTACCATGCCACCATAGAATTTCAAGTACAGTTAACTGCCTTATCTAGTGAGTAACGATTACGCAAATGTACAGTACATATTCTACAGAAGTTGAAGTCATACGCTGCATTAATCCAACAGTTCGGAAGCATTGTTTTTCAGAAACCACAACAAACCGTATACATGAATAATTACAGAATGAAGTCGCATTACAGACACAAAGCGAATACTTTTATGGTTAATTTATCCATTTTCTGGTTTCGCCTTGAACTAATTATTTGTCGTCCACCAGCTGGGCAACTGCATACCGCACAATCAAATGGCACAATCAAAAATATTGTGCGCGTTTGTATTTCTACAGAAAAGTATCATTGTCTCTATATTCGCTTGTCAACGATTTGTTATCCGCTATTAGACTAATTGCTTTGCGGTAAGAGTGAATAAATTTCTTTCTGGTGGGAAATAAACGTTTATATACAGAACATTTTTGCAGCAAAGTGAATATGAATCCAACACCTGATATGCAGAGAAAAATGCTAGAATTCACGAAAGCAACTGTGTTACCATTGCTCTTATATGGTCTCGAAATAGTTGCGGTCCTTAAACGTCATGAAGCTTATCTATGCAGCTTCCAACAACGATATCTGCAAAGTATTCTCAAACTGCAGTAACATCACCGGGTCGAATTTTGTTTAAGGACAGCAATCTGGAAACATCGTAAAGCCAACTCAGTTACAAAGACGTGTCTTCGTAGGCCATAAGAAGGAATGCAGTAGTTGTCAAAACTATTCTCTCGTGAGAACGGTCAAGTAGCCGTAGACGCTTTAGAAGACAAGGCATGAAACGGAATCACTTACTTCAGACAGATATGCTGGCGACGATGAATGTGACTTTCGCCGCCCCAGTAAACATTTCCTAACATTCGCCTGATATACCATGTAGGTTGGACATCGTAAATCTGGGCTACTCTCTTGTTTTAGCTCTGTTAATCTTTGATAACGATGGCTCAACAAGAGAACCGATCATGCAGCCGCTCTCAAAATTGTTTTATTCACCCGGTAATTTGACAAGCATAAACTCAAAAGTGAAAATGACTGTGACAGTGCCGCATAAAACCGGACCTCAATGCATTATCTGACAAATCGCAGCAGCTTCTCTGAGATGCTGTTTTATTCACTGTCTTAAGGGACTTTGGAAATGCAGTAACAATGCGCATGAATTCTGCAATTCATATTGCTGTACCTTGTTCTACAGTCGATTAGTTTCAATGATTGCTAATGCCTATGATCGTGGAGGCAATAAGGTCCGACAATGTCTCCAGCGGTTCATTTACTCTTCAAATGTTGAGCTTCAGCAATATGCAGTTACAGTTTAGGGCAAAGTCCATTGAGGAACTTGCCATATATTATTTTTGGCCGTCCCCTGGGTTTTCGGCCGGACTGTTGAGCAATTAATTGCTGTTTCAGAATCTTTTCTGAAAGCAAGTTCATGAGACGGCTTTCGAGGAATTGGTCACTAGTTGACGTTTGTTTCAACGATCATAGATTTAAAGAAATTAGCTCATGATAGTTTCATGAAGCACTCGTTTTGCCCTTAAGGAGATACAAAATTATATAATCACATTCTGTATGAAATTGAGTGAAAGATCTGCAGGAGAAACGCTTAAAGCAATTCTGAAAATAATTAAAATTATGTGTAGAACTACAAGAACATGCATATTAGAGCTTGTTTTTCTGGTGTCTTCAAGTATCTACCAAGAATGAAGAACTATCCTGAGTTAAGTCGGTACATTTCATTCTTGGTAATGATAGGAGATTTTCAGCAATTTACTGCTCCATCTGCGATTCGCATAGGCTTTGTTTCTTTCGTAGACATACCATGAACATTTACGTAGACGAATGTTGAGAGACAAAAATTTTCGATGCAGAAATTCTTCCGCATTACTTGCTTTTTGAAGGCCCTTGTGAATGGCGTTGAGGCAATTCCAAATTGCTGGAGCAAAGTGTGGTTGCCTCACCTGGCGTCGTGATGAACGGTCAAGCAATTTGTCATTAAAACAATCTATATATAGTTGCGCCTCAATGGGACAGTTGTTCATCATGGCATCGAACTTAAATGCTCGCAATTAATGTTGCATTGGTAAGGAGGACGATGCAGCGAGACTTCAGATTTTTAAGGTTAAGGTAACATTCGTTTGGTTTCTTTGCCTGAAATAAAAATGAATACTTCAGAAGTTGCATTTGCCGAAGTCATACAGCTGCTCTCGGTGCCTTGCATTTATAAAGTTTCTTTGAAAAGCTTTAATGCACGTTCGAAATGGGGTAGTACTGAATGAGGTGCGAAATGTGGTGCCTAAGGCGTGGCCTTGAACACTCCCGTATAAGCCGCCTCTGCAACCATTCAAGTAGAGATGGAATGACATTGATGCACTATACTTCTTGTTCTTGTGCAGCTACCGAAGCAACTGAGATACAGTTTTAGACGTTTCAGCCAATTAGATAATTGCGACTATAGTCGCAAATTATTTCTAGAAAAAAAATTTAATTATCTGGACCGCTGTCCTATTCAAGGAAATCCTCAAAGCAGCGCCGGATCATCTAAGCTGGGTGGATTTGGAAGTCCAGCGTACGAATCGACTCGCTGGCGCATGATTGTCGGCGATATGCTATGGTTGGATGGCAATTTTTTTTCTTCTGCTTGTGACTGTCTTACAGAAGTCATTGATGGAGTTTCATGACTAAACCCATAAGACATTACGACGAGTTCTTTTGTTTCGTTGATAACTTTCGTCACCAGTAGGCCAGATCTGAAAGAGCAGATACTTTCACAAAATAT